ATGGTAAGATTGTATCCTTAAGGTTGGCTAAGATGGACCAACTCGTCTGGGTCGAGTCGTGTTGGGAGGTCGGATCCAAACAATTTGACCCAGGTCGCTTCTTTGATTCCATTTCAGGTGAAATCATCGTAACGTTGATTTTAATTTAGACAAAAAGAGAAAAAGAAAAGTCTTTTTCTCTATCAGTTCCACTATTTAACTACTGTGAGTGTGTGTGCTGTGTCTTTATATAACATGATGTTGATATATACAGACAAATTAAACCCTATGATAAATGATTTTCAAATCCATGGCTAGGTAGAAATGTGTGTTACACACTAGTTTTCAACCTTTTTTTTCTTTCTTTTCTTTTTTTGATGTTGTTTGTTGGATAATATTATTATTGATGTTGGTGTTAAGGAATGGATTGACTCTCTAGCCTAAGCGTTTAAGTTTTTGGGTTTTTTGTCAACTTTGTTCGCCATGCCTTACGATTTCGGGATTGTTTTGTGTTCCTACTTTTGTTTGAGCGCGTTTTTAGAGTTAACCTAACCCTAATGAGACAATATTGATGTTTTTTTTGTCCCAAATTTTTGCCATACTATTTCTTTCTTCCGTTAAGAATATATATAAGATACTAAATATATATACTATAACACATCAATTAAATTTTTGGGTTCTAACACGTACTAACCTAACATAATATTATATTAGAGCAAGATCATGTGTTGTTTTGTTTCAATCTTCTCCATTTAATATTGTAGTCACTTTTTGGTGTTGGGTGTGATTTAGCATCCCATTTAATAACTCACGTCTTGAACCTCGTGAATATTAATTATTATTAAATCCAAGCGAAAATTTAATACCAACATGAACATAATTCAACGCTAAGACATTTGACTTTTCCTCTCAAGATTGGAGGTTCGATCCTTTAACCCTACATCATTGTACTTAGTGAAAATTTTAATGCATTGGACAAAATTAAAATAAAACTTTAACTAAGCTGATTAAAAATTTTAAAACTTTTAAAACTATTATATTTTGGTCAATAAATTTTCAAAATATCCATTTTTAGTTCTTAAACTTTTTAAAATACAACCCAATTAGTAGCTCAATGACTAAGACACGTAACGCGCGAAAGGTCGAAGTTTCAATTTTCTACGCTGCAATTGTTGAACCTAAAAAAGAAAAGAAATAAACAAGTGGGTTATAGATGGAGGTGGCAGGTGAGGATAGGGGCATGCAGTTACTCACACAAGGGCAAGGGCAAGGGCGCAGCACAGCATTGTCCCCTTGAATTTCTTTCCATTTGACTTCTTCTCCATAAGGGAAAATTGACGAAACATCGCTTTTGAGTTAAATGAGTTCTCAGATCAGAGTCCATTGCTGTATATAGAGGGAATTTTATGTTACTCAGACATACCCTTTTGCCATTAATGGGCAGAAACTCAAGTTTGTAACGAGAGAATTCAGAGGCCCACTGTGGCCACTTGGGTTTAATTTCCATGGAATTGCCTGTTCTGTGTAAGAGAGATTTGTTATTCAAACAGTTCAAAACAGAGAGACTCAGAGTCAGAAGGTGGGCACATGGCGTGGGCTTTCATTTATCTCTGTGTTTGCCTGCAAGGTTCATTGGGGAATTTCGTCGAACAGGCAATGGGGGAATAAATACCCACCAGCTTTCTCACTCTCATTTCTGGGGGTTTCTATTTTTAGGGCTCCTTTCAGATTCTAGACTTGCCTTTTTTTTCTTTTCCATGTTGGTTTCTCACCTGAACTTTCCCTATTTTTTCTTTTCCTTCTTCTTTTCTGTTCTCTCTCTTCTCCATGGCTACACTACAAAGACAGACTGAGTTTGCTTTTAAGTTCTCACTTAGATATATGACTTAGCTTTTAGGATCATAACAAATATTTGTTTARCTCATTGAAAGTTCCATGATTTAAATACTTAAGATTATATGTCAAATAAATGCCCAAAATCAATCACGAAATATATTTAAACTAATTAAGTCACTAAATCCAACAAGTACATCCAACAAATAATAATTGTATGTGCTTCAAAAGAAATAATTGTATGTGTTAAAACGAGTATAATTTAGCGGTAATTGACATCTACCTTCAACCAAGAGGTTGTAAGTTCGAATCCCCACTCCACCACGTTGTACTAAAAAAAAAGAAAAAAAGAAAAAATTGTATGTAACACCCGAAAAAAAAATGTGCGTACAATACTTGCATATCCTTAGGATCCCCTCCCATTGGAATGCAACGTTGAAACGACAACTTGCGAAGGGCAACCAAAGGTAGAATTGATAGCGAAGATATATAAGAGTTGAAATTGAATTGAAGTTGATGGTGGTTGTTGCCTTTTTCGAAATTCATCATTATTAAGGAGAAATTGGAGAGTGTCTTGAGTTGAAACGACSGTGGATCAAATCATGATAAGACATAATCTAATCATTCTCATGGTTAGATAACATTGATGCTTCTAATTTTTTATGACAAGTTTGATAACCATTTGGATTTTGGTTTTCTATTTTCGAAACTAAGCTTGTAAACACCATTTTCACCTATGTATTTATTTGTTATACTATCTATTTTTAAAAATGTTTTCAAAATCTTAGCTAAAATTTAAAAACTAAAAAAAAAATTCATTTTTATTTTTAAAAATTAGCTAAGAATTCAAATATGTTTATAAGAAATATGAAAACATACCAAAGAAATGATGAGGAAGCCAGCATAATTTTTAAAAACGTAAAATTAAAAACGAAATGAATATACAATGAGACCTAAAAATTCAAAAATTTATAGAGACATAAAATAAAAAGTCCATACTTTTGATATTTCCAATATTTGTATTTTAGGGTGTTTTCAAAGAATATTAATTAAGCGAGAAATTTGTATTTAAATGACAAAATTACTTGGTAGTAGTAATAAAATGATAAATTTCACGTGCATCGACTAGTTACTATAAAATTCTTTCAAATATGTTTTAACGATACTTGTATGGTCTTAAGATTACTTTCATTTGGATGTAGTATCGATTCATTCATGTATTCTTACTTTGAGCATTTATAAATGCTCAAACTTAACAATAAAATATCTAAAATCCAACAAAAAAAAAAGCAGCCAACATATAGTTAAAATAGTCCATACCAACAAAAATAGTCTTCATCATAAGAGTGCTCACAGTTACTCACAAATATTCGAACAAATTTAAATCTAACCTTATTCAAATATAGAGCTTAAACTACAACACCTATTCAAATTTAAAATTTAAATTAAAGAAATTGCAAGTTCAATGGTAAAAGTTGAACATGTGATATTTGTTGCTTTTATAATTCAAAATTTTAAAAAATTTAGTATAGAATTTTGTAAAGTGCAGGTCTTAAAATAGAGACTAAATTTATAATTTAATTTTACTGCATGGTTTGAAATGACAAATGAATTTGACTTTTGATCCGCAGCTTAATTGTTTCCTAAAAGAACCTTCATATTAGTCTCAAAGAGAGAAGACCACTTATGGGTTTAATTAATCTGTCGTCCCTTTCTTATTTACCATTATTTTCTAATTCTTTTCATTTTATACTATTTTATAAATAAATTACAAAAACAATTTATTATGCTTTAAAAAAACCCCGGGGCATTAATTAAATGCGAGCMAGTCGAGAGGGATCCAGACAAGAAAATTCTTTTATTTTTTTACAACATGTGGGGATGGGGGATTGAACTCTCARCCTCATAATTTTTTTTCTTTCTAATTAATTTTCTACTATATTTTATGTAAGTGTTGAATAACTTTAGTTTTTGCGGTTTGTTCTCAAATTTTCTTTTCTTTTTTAGATAGTCATTACTAGGGTTAACTAACCATTTATGCACTCAAATTTTTCTAAACTTAAAAAGAAAAACAAATTATATCAATAAACTTTAATTTTGATTCTAATATTTCTTCCTGGCTCACATATTACTTCTAGAGTCTAAATTGGACTAATAAATGATGAGGTTACACAGTAGAGTGAGTTAGATTTGGCAAAATAAACGTAGGCTAAGGATGCGTCAAAAAATTATTTTCAGTGTTTTTAAATAGATATTTGAGAGTATATTTGAAAATTGAATGTCAATTTAAAAAATTATTTAGTAGTATATTGGTAAACTAGGGTAGTTACAATTAAATATTTAGTAAAATCTAAAATAATATTAATTAACATATTGATTTGTTATAAATTTTGTAGGATTATTATTTTATAATATTATATATGTTATAATATATTATATTTTACATTTTATTAAGTTTTTAACAAAAATGAAATGAATTTGTAACATGTTATAATATATTTATCCAAGTTTTTATATTTCTTATTGTAATTCTGTATTTTAATAAGCTTAAAATTCAGTAAATATTGACAACATACGAATGTTGTTTCCAAATCGAGAAAGGGGAGAGGCTCCTCCATTCCATATTTGGAAAAGAGATAGAGGCTGCTTGGTCATCGTCATCGCTGGAGACAGGGAGCTCTCTCCCGTTCGAGATCTAGAACTCGAGAGAGGGAGGTTCTCTCCGAGGAGTGACAACAAAATGCAACAATGACGACAGCGGTGGAGTGACAAAAAAATGTAACAATGACGACAGCGATGGTCAGTGGGAAGAAGGTTAGAAGAATCAAGAAAGAGGARGGAGAAAGAGAAGGAGAAGAATGAAAATGCCACCTATAATAACATATTATATAAAAATCTATTTTTTACGCCTCATTTAAAAATATAAGTTAGAATAATACAAAGTGAGTATAGCTCAACGGTAATTGACATATATCTCAAACCAAGAGATTATGAGTTTGAATCCCTTCCTGATCTATTGTACCCCACCAATAAATACAATTACAAGAGACCTATAATTTTCCAACTATAAATTTTTGAAATAGTCTCTTGGAATAAGTTTAAAATAATGTATTTTTTTCCTTTATTTTATTATTTTTGATATTTTTACATTTTACAGACCGACGAATTTATCCCTATCCAGAGGGAATAAATCAATAACAAGACTAACACCAACAGCTGAGAAATTTATCTTGGTTGCCAATTGCGATTGCGATTTGGAAGTGTTCTTTCGATTCAGAAAGTTGAGCAGAATTCGAATTTCGAAGATGGCGGAGGCAGGCGACGGTTCCGGAAATTCTCGGTGGTCTCTCAAGGGCTCAACCGCACTCGTCACCGGCGGCACTCGCGGAATCGGGTCTGTATTCTCTCCGCGCCTCACTTAATCTTCTACTTCCTCTGCTCAAATTCTGGCCCTGTTTCTCTCTAACTTCGAATTTGGATTCTGATTGCGATTCTCTGTGTTTCAGCCGCGCCGTGGTGGAGGAACTGGCCGCCTTGGGCGCTTCCGTGCACACCTGCTCCCGGAACGAAGCGGAGCTCAATCGGTGCTTGAAGGAGTGGGAGGGCAAGGGTTTTGTGGTCCGTGGGTCGGTTTGTGATGCCTCGTCAAGAACACACAGAGAGAGGCTGATGCAGGAAGTAGAGTCCGCTTTCAATGGCAGGCTTAATATTCTGGTGAGTTTTCTTCTGCGCTTCAGCCATTATCCATCTACGATTAGGAGAATTGAGTAGAAAAGGAATTTGATAACAGTGGCAAATTTGAGTGTTGCTGCGTGGTTCTGTAATAATATATTTATGGTTGAACTCCAAGAAAGAAAACGAAAATGCCTCCAAAGTGAGACAAACTTCAGTCACTTTTTCACTTTTCAACCAAAGATAATGACTTGTTGAAACCACTGAAAAGTGATTCCTAAAGTAAGTCAATGTAGCCAGGTGCTCTGATGTTTATATGTATATATATAATTTTGATATACGTGAGTGTCCAGACTAGCTTACGTGCACCTCGACTAATCTCACGGAGCAATCGCCTGACCATTCCATACTTTTTAGGCATACAAAAAGTCAGACTTGCAAATCAATATGTTAATGGACACTGTTTAAGTTAAATATACAGTATATTGCAATCGGATCATCAAAACTAGAAAGCCTTCTATTGATCTCAAGTGATAATGTCTAGCTTTTGCTCAATAATCAATAACATGATTCTTAAGAAGTTGCCTTCAGGAAATTCTGACAGTTTGTTTGTGTAGGTAAACAATGTGGGAAAAAACATCAGGAAGCCAACTATTGAGTACAGTTTGGAAGAATTTTCATCATTGATGACTACCAACTTCGAATCTGCATATCATTTATCACAACTTTCACATCCTCTTTTAAAAGCTTCAGGAAATGGAAGCATCGTGTTCATTTCTTCGGTTGGTGGTCTCATGTCCATTGGAAGTGGATCCATCTATGCAGCAACCAAATGTGAGTTGCTACTGTAAAACTGTACCTTAATTGGTTGGTTCTAAGAAGCTAATATGGTTCCCCTTCTTTGACTTTCTACTCTCAGCTGCAATAAATCAACTGACCAAAAATCTTGCTTGTGAATGGGCCAAGGACAATATCAGAAGCAACTGTGTTGCACCCTGGTATACAAATACCCCTCTTGTAGAAAAGGTAACATTTTCAACCGTACTCGATAGATGATAGATAATTCGCTTGTACATATTAGTTTATTTGTGCCATCGTATCTTCTTCATGTGTCTATTCTGAAATCAAATGTCTGAGCATTAAGTGAGGTATTGTTGTTGGACCGAGACATGAGGTGCTCTGCCATTACTTTCAGATACTTTTAATCTCCTCTGTATCTTTCTGTGGAAGCTCTATTTACGTTGAATTGAGTCATCTATGCAAGGAATGGCGTTCAAGCTTAAGCAACATCACAGCTAATGTTACCAGTGACTTTCCACTTAGCTTAACAGCTTGATTCTTTTTCTGTCTTTCTTGGTTGTAATCTTTATTGTTTCTGTGGCTTTTCTCTGATTGAGGGCTATCCCATGTAAGAGAATGTCCTTGTGCACGGGTACGAGGATCTGAATCATACATGACGTGCACGAGCACGCACCATATTTTTTGCACCAGCTTCTGGTGGTAGAACATTCTGAAATTCCTGTATCTTTTAAGTCTGAGAGTGTCTATATTTATTGCATATCTTTCAGTTCAACCTCTAAACCGTGCCTCTTGAATTTTAATATCATAGTTGCTCGATAATAAGACATTCGTGGACAAGGTGGTGTCTCGAACTCCACTTGGGCGCATAGGGGAGTCAAACGAAGTATCGTCGTTGGTGGCATTCCTTTGCTTGCCTACTGCATCTTACATCACTGGACAGATTATTTCTGTTGATGGAGGGTTCACTGCAAATGGATTTGATTCTGGTATGAGACTAGACATGTTGTGAACTCCCAGTTCAGCCTCAGAATGACAGGTCCTAAACTTTCTTTTGCCATGTCCATACTCATTTTTTATCTGCAAATCATGTATTTCTTGCAACTCTTTCAAGTCTGCTCGATTTCTCATATTTACTCGCTCGGTTTAGTTTTAGTGCTTATCAACTGTTTTTATTGATAGTCTGATTTTTAGAAGGCAAATTGGTTAAGCATATATTATCGACTAAAATGTTAGAAGTTTAAATTCTGAACACTAAAAAAACAGTTATGTGTGCAATATCAATGATAAACATATCAAATGGTTCTTAGTTAATTCTCAATTTGGTTATTAATTTTTTGAAATTTTCAATTTTACCTTTAACCGAGGGACATAAATTTTAGAGAGAGAGAGAAAAAAAGAGACGGAAAGAAGTTTTGGGACAAAAAAAAAATTAAACTTCTCTAAAAATTAGGGTAGAAATGAGATGAAATAGGAAAATTATCTAAACCGCCTCCTATTTATAACAATAATCACTTTAATGTGATTTTATTTCCCCAAATTACTTTAAAATTTCAAAAGTATTTTTAAAATCTTAAGTAATTAAAAAACAAAAGAGTGAGACAAGCACAAAAAGATTGAGAGAGTGAACAAAGTTTGAGAGACTAAAAATATTGGAGCAAAAAAGAGTTAGAAATGGACAAAAGAAAGATTTTTTTTTTTAATTTAGTCTTTTTGTGATTTTACATTTTTCAATTTATTTTTTCTTTTTTGACTTGATGATAAATTTATATGATATAATACTTAGTTTAAATTCCATAAATTTAAATTTACACCATTTTCAAATTTCCTTTTTCCAATCAAACTTACATAGCTTTCAAAAACTAATTTTCAATCACTCAATTTATTATTATTATTTTAAAAACTTGATCGTGTTCCTATATTTTTATCGACGTCAATATTTTCATAAGTATATATTATTTATATTTCTAGATGGGGTTGTTAAAAGTGATCAATTAAATCCTAGTTAAGCTATAATTAATATCTTATTTAAGCTATAATTAAAATTTTATTTACTAGTTTAAACAATTTCCATCTTTTTCACCACTTCTATATTTTTTTCTAAAATTTTTATCGATGCTTCAAACTTTTCTCTCTACAACCAAATAAAAATAATAAATAAATAAAATATTAATAATAAAGTGGGGAAATAAGAACTCTAGTTAAAAGGAAGGAATCCAAGGACTAGGAGGAACTTTTGAAGGCTGTCCTCAATCTCGGGAAATTAGGTTTCTGACCCATGCAATAAATCTGGATTTTTATCCCTTTTTTTTTAAAAAAAAACCTAATTTCTGACTCACTCCCATTTTAATTTAGGACCTTTTTCTACTTTTTATTTTTGTAAAATTATCAAAATATCCCTGTTTTCTTTAAAGTAAAATTGTCTTTCCCTCCACCAATCTCTTACCTTAAACCTCACCATTTCTTTTTAATTTGAATTTTAACAATCAAATAATCCATATTATTGGCGTTCATATAAAAATTGCATGATAAATGCCAAATATATAAAAAAAATAGAGCTGAATGTATCCCGGCCCGGGATAGCATTATCCCGGATCGAGATAGAACAATCCCAGACCGGGATTGTATATAAATACTACAATCCCAGTCCGGGATTGTGCTATCTCGAGTCGGGATATACGCATTTTTTTTTTACATTTATTCTTGGCTCTCTTACCATTTAATGCAATATTTAGTATTTAATGTCGAGATTTATGTAATCTAATTAAATATGGAGATATATAATCTTATGCCGTAATTATGTAAATTCAGCTTTCCATATTAAACGGTTAAATATTTAATATTTCATTATGTAATTTCAACTTCTTTTAAATCGATTTTTTCCGTATTAGATTGGTAATTTTGAGTTAGATTTTTTTCCAATTTGTGATTGATTTTTCAAGTTTAAAAGTTTGATTTTTTTAGAATTGTAATTGATTGTTGAATTAAAAAGTTGAGATTTTTTCCATATTAGATTCAAATTGAAACGAATGTGAGTTTTATGGTGAAAGATTGGTAGAGGAAAAACAGATTATTTGCTCTTTTTTTTTTCACTAATGAAGATATTTTGATAATTTTACAAAGTTAAAAAATAAAAATAAGTAAAAAATGAGAAGAAAGGGATCATGAATGAATAAGAGATTTTAGGAGGGTGAAAAAGTTCAAGTTAACTAAGAGGAGGGACAAAAATCCAATTTCCCTGGTTTTGAAGGCTGTCCTCAGTCCCCTTTGGTTTATTCTTTTTTTTTTGGTTTATTCTTTTAAAAACCATTTAAATCACATTTTATATATCACATCAATTATTATTATTGTTATTATTACTATTATTATGAATGCTACATCAATATTTTTTAGATAGGAACCAAATCGAACATAGCTCAAATGATTAAGGCACCTGACCAGAAGGTCATGAGTTCAAATAAAGATTATTTTATTATTGTTTTATAAAAGTAATATTCGTAACCCATCTCCTACTTGTTATATCTTACTTGTAATATATGAGATACTTCTACTTTTTACCTTAATTTTTTTTTTTAATTTGTAATAGGGGTAGCAAAATAATATATTTCACATGTTAAAATGTCGAAATATTGATACCATCAAAATTTAATTTCAATTTTGGAATTTTTTAATTAAAACYTTAAAATAAATATATACGAAATAACAAAAGAAAAATTGAAAAATTAGTGGAAGTTAAAGGAGCATTASTCCAAATAAACTATAAAGTGATTCCTTCTCTCAAAAGAAATCTATTACATAAATTGAAACTATGAAAGCAAAAGTTAAACTTCTGAAGAAAAAGTAAAAGACACGCATTTAAGAATAAAGACATCAATGTCCGTCCTTCACTTCTAACTATTTCCTTTTTTTTTTTTTTTAAGATATAGTTCTAATTATTCATGGTTTACATGTTCTAGTAAAAAAAATGTCAGTACAATAAGAATAAAGACATGCATTGAAGTGGTGGTGAATCTCTTGTTCTCATTTAGTGCTCTCCAAATCGTGCAAGAAGGTTTTCCATCACACGGTTCAGCCGTTTTGATATTTTGCTTATTATTTGATTAAAGTTTAGCTTTTTAATTTTATAAATTTAAATCAAATTTATATTTATTTTGAATTTAGTCATCATAAAATCAATTGATGATGAACTGAAAAAAAAGGTCCAATTTTTTTGTTTCTAGTACCAAAAAAAGTCCAATTGAAGAGTGAGAGTTGCGTCAATTTTGACCATAAAATCGCTATTGAATTCCCCAGGGCAGCAGCCTTCTGCGTCATTCGCAAAATCTGAAACCCCATCAACAGAAATCAACCGACCACTAAAAAACTTGCGATTATCAGTGATTTCTTGCAAAGTTTTCTTTAAAGTTTTGAACCCATGACTCTTCGTTGACCTCCCCTTGTCCAGCTTCCACTCAAATAGTAACGAAAACCCTTCTCCCTAAGCAAAGCTCTTCTCGGTACTGTCGGTTTTCAACTCCCTTTTCGCTATAAAAGACAACTGCGTCAGGTCTCCTTCAATGGCGGGATCGGACATCCACGCCCAGAAGATTATTAAAGCTCTGTAAGAGAGCAGGGCTGATTAAGCTTCCCCATCTTTGGGTCCTGCCGATTTGTTTCAGGTAATCGTTTCATTTTGCTAATTCCACTTAATCTTGAGTTCTGATAGTAAATTGATGAGGTTTTCTCATGTAATACTTTGTTTCGTTTCTATCTTTTATTGCTTGAATTGGGTGTTTGAATTTCCCGGTTGTTTTAAATCTGTTAACTTCTGGTATGTTGTTTCAGAATGTGACTATGATCTTGGGCAAAAACAGAACACCTTTGTAGAAGTTCTGGGAGAAAACACTAAATTCAGGTATGCTGAAGAACAACAATTACAATTTCGTAACGCTTTCATTTACATAAGGTTGGAATTTTGTTGAACTTTTAATTTGGTTTGATTCTTTGCAGATTGTTTCTCTTTTGACACCCAAAAACTGTGTCTCGTCTTAGAAGAGGGTCAAAATGAATGGTTACATGTTGGATTGCGTCATAAAGGATATACTTCGCGTGGTTGAACCGTTGCAGGATGATTGGGCAGCGCGATTTCAAATGATTAACGAGTTGCGTGCGCTTGTAGAATCTATTGAAAGTCTTCGAGGTTCTGCTCTTGTTCTTTAGAGTTGTGTTTTACCTTTTGTACAGTTATTAAAGATCGAGCTGTTGGATCAATGATGTTGCCTTGAGGTTGATAGTTTTACTTAGAGAAGACATTTTGATTAATGGTCGGAGCAGGTGCAACGATCGAGCCATTTGGATCCTTCGTGTCTAATTTATTCTCACGCTGGGGAGACTTGGATGTTTCTATTCAGTTGCACAATGGTTCGTGTATTTCCACTTGTGGCAAGAAGCTTAAACAAAGTATACTGAAAGATGTTCAAAAAGCATTGAGGAAAAAAGGTACTCTTCTACTACTTAACACTTCTTTCCTCCCCTTAGTTTGCTTAACTCCAGAGCTGGTAAGACATCACCAAGAAAGTTTAGATTAGATTAAATCAATAATTATTTAATTATGAATATTTTTTTCAAAAGTTTCCAAGTTTTTTGACAAAAATGGAAAAAGGAGGGAATTGATTGAAACTTTAGAATGAATTCTAAAGTAGAGGTTCGCCCTATCAATTCTCCCCGGCAGCCCAACTAACTCAATTTTATTTCTCACGAACTATTTTGTAACACACTATACGAAGTAAAAAGCGTAGAACTATTAGCAAGAGGAAGGGTTTTCTATGAGATGGGAATTAAACTTTTACGATGTTTGTTGGTTGTGAGATATACTTGCAAGGCAAAAATCAAAGCTAATTTATGTCCTTCACTTATCCATATTTCTTAGTGTAGTTGTATGCTTGTGCTCCTTTTCTATTTTTCATTAGAAATGTACATAGGAAGTTATCTTTTTATCTGTTTCATTTGATATACATTTCATATATTATGATTTTATTATTCTGTTAACATTAAAGAGTTTCTCCCTACTTTTCTGCCCTATAGTTCTGAGAACAAAGTAAAACTCCAATTTTACATGGAATTAGATGAACCCTATTAATTTGTAAATATGTGTTGCATAACTGCATTTAATCTAGTGAATGTAGGCTGTTTTTTAAATAGAATGGTACTAGTCACCTTGCGAATCAATTAGGATACTGAAGGACCAGCAAGCAGGCAGTTTGTCTAGCAATAATCTCATATTACTCTGCATCTCTTCTAGAAAATGGCGAATGTTGGTTGTGAGGGAGGAATTGCTCTCTTTCAGATTTTGGATTTCTCATCCATTTTTAAATTGCTTTTTGCAGGTGGATGGTATAAGCTACAGCTAATTCCTCATGCTAGAGTACCCATTCTGAAGATTGAAAATATTCGGCACAAAATTTCATGTGATATTTCCATTGATAATCTTTTGGGCCAAATGAAGTCTAAAATTTTGTTGTGGCTTAACGACATAGATGGGCGCTTCCATGATATGGTTTTGCTTGTATGTTCTTTTAGCATTGTCTAAACTTGTCAACTCCCTTTGCTAGAAGTGCTTCAATGTAATTATCTTTTCTAGCTTTGTGTAGGTCAAAGAATGGGCAAAAGCACATGACATCAACAATCCAAAACAGGGAACTTTCAACTCATATTCTCTCAGTTTGCTTGTGATCTTCCATTTTCAGGTGGTTTTCCTTCCATCAAATGCTAAAATTGGTGAAACTTAAATCTTAGATTACTTGAGCTCAGAATATCAATTATGAAAAGTGATGCAGGACATTCTTCAACCTTATTTGAATCCATTGTCTGTGCCCTTTTTGGCGATCTTTTATTTTTGTCTTTTTTTTCTTTCTTCAAGATTAGTTGATGAGAAACCAAGATAGAATCTTTATTGTGCAATTTGTCATCCAAACATTTTATAAAACCACGTGTCGATTTTGTTTACCATAATCCCAGTATTTACTATTAGGTCTTTTGCAGACATGCTCGCCAGCCATCCTACCTCCTCTTAGAGACATATACCCAGGAAATGTAGCTGACAAGCTCCATGGTAATTTTGCTTCTTAAAATTTGTTGCCTGATGTATTCTTTGGATATATTTGGGATGGCTTTTGAAAAAAGAAAATGTTTTAAGTGGAGGCAAGCACTCCTTCCATAAGTACTTTCGAAAGAAATACTTTCTCCTAGAAGCACTTTAAGTGTTTTTGTAATTCAAAATCGCTTTTGATTACATAACCAAATACTATAAAAATTTTACAAAGTACTTTTGATGGGTTAAAAGCACTTTTTATCCTTCAAGAGTCATTCAAAACTGACTCTTAGGAGGATTTTAGCTGGTAAAGATGGACACATGAAAATATATTATGCAACTCAAAGGAGTGTTTGTGTATTTGTCCACGGTATCGTGTATAAAGAAAATTGAGACGTTCAATGAATCTCAAATTTAATATTGGTCTGATAATTGAAATACAAAATAATGACATGTATGTACTGGAATAGGTGTGAGGGCTGAGGTTGAGAGCCAAATTGCACAGACATGTGCTGCTAACATAGCCAGGTTCAAATCAAGGACAGCCAATAGAAGCTCTTTGTCTGAGCTTTTTCTTTCATTCCTTGCAAAGGTATTATTTTCAATGTTTCTGCTCAGTACATTGATATGTGATATGGGAGAGATTAATTCTATAGTATAGAGTTCTTTCATAGTACTATCACTTCTATCTAGCTAGCTAGTCATGTTCTGGTCTCAGTAACTATCACTATCTTCTTCTTTTCTCATTGTTTTTGTTCTCTCTTGTGCAGTTTTCAGATATAAGTTCAAAGGCATCAGAACTAGGAATTTGTACATACACAGGGCAATGGTTGGAAATAGAAAGCAATACGAGATGGTTGCCAAAAACATATGCAATATTTGTAATTTCTCTCCCCCTCTCTTTATGTCATATCATGCATGCATATGCACAAAATGGTTTTTCTCTTGCCTCTTTTCTGATATCATGGCCGGGCGGAATGGCTGGACAGGTTGAAGATCCGTTTGAGCAACCCGAAAACACAGCCAGGGCTATTTACGCGAGGCAATTGATGAGGATTTCTGAGGCAATTCGGATGACCTGTTTCAGGATCACCTCAGTTCATCAGAACCAGAGTTCTATCCTCGCTGAATTAGCCCGACCTCAAACATCACAGCTAATCGTTAAACCATCTGCTCCGGCTAGCGCCCCGACATTCAATCTAGGAAATTACCCCCCAGTTGGTCCACAGGTTCACCAAGCCAGAGTTAGGCACCCACGCCCATGGATTCAACATCAGTCTCAAAACAGCGTCCCAAGGTTCAATATGGGGAACTTCCCCCCTATCGATTCCCACGTTCCCCGTGCTGGAACTACACACTCTCATCCATTGACTCAACAAAATTTCTCGAATACAAGATGTGTAAGCAATCCTAACAGCTCGAAAACAGGGGAGCCTTCAAAGACATACAATGGTCAAGGACCGCAAAAGTGGAGACCAAGGTCCCAGAGACAGGTATAATGAGGTTTACGTTTTTACATTGGCTTTTGCACACATACTTGGATTAGAAAGCTCAAATGCTCTCGACATGGCGGTTTTCTGTTACAATATCCTTTTCACCGTGAATTCATTTTGTGTACTTGTCATTGGCATTTGAGGGAGATCACTCGTGCCATTATTTTGGGTCCTGCTATTGTAATTCTCATCTGGAAGACCATTGCTTGTGATTATGTACCGTTCTATCTTATAGTCTCTACCTTTCTTCTCTCCCTCCAATGACATCAAGGACCGAGACCGAAAGGGGTATTGAATTTATAGCACTGGCATTCGAACTTTCAGCAAACACAGTGAATGGTCTGTGCAATCTTTTAACTTATTTCATTGTTTTTATTTTATAAAGACTAAATTGCAAAAAATACTCCGAAATTCTGCCATTTATCCTTCCTACATGCCATTTGAACAAACATCCGTTAATATTTTTATTTTAAATGAAAAGTTGACTTGGCAAAATGTATAACAATAATTAACATGGAAGCTTACCAAGGGTGAAATTGGGTAAATAATGGAGAAGTAAACTTGAATATGGAGGAAGAAAATTAGGATGTTAATTTTAATGCTAATTGTGATGTTGTTTCTCTGTCTAAAATATCAATGGATATTTGCTGAAAAGAGTGTTTTGAAATTTTTATGAAATTAGATAATATTGTAACTTTTGATAGAAGTATATTTTTATGGGAAGGGCAGTTTTATTATTTTGTAATTTAGCCTTTATTATGGAACGGGCAGTTTTATTATTTTGTAATTTAGCCTTTTATAAATGTGACCCTCTTTATTTTTTTCTTGCTTCCATAGTCCTTAATTTCTATTCCAATCAACTTGTTTAAACCGCGCTTAGCTAGTAATTGACTCTTAACTAGTCAATATAAGATATTAGATTTGAAGTAATACCCCTACAACTGCAAATGAAATTTTAAGACATTTTTTAGTGACCTACATCTAAGAGGTCATTAACATAAATTGGCCTGTAATTTGACGTAAATTTCAGAATAAACACGTAATAAAGCAATAATAGAGGGGGAAAAATAACTAAGCACAGAGAAAAAAGGAAAAAATCAGAGTAGATTCAATGTGTTTTTCTGATGAATTGTTCTTACAGTCTATTTTTGCAATGATGCTATGCCATTTTCTTTTCTTTTCAACTACAAAAACAAACCCATATCATCATACGAAGGCACCAAATGGAAACCCACAAAGCCATTTCGAACCATGAGGCCAACTAATCAAAGATTATAGCGTGTCAAAGTTTGCATTGGTCTCTTGGCCTCTGGATATGGATTATTAGCCCCCCTGTGTTTACCTGGTTCTCGTCTCCAAGAATGAGCTAAAGGAGCTGTACTTAGCCAGCACAATCCTACAATTTTCACGCTCGCAATAGGCGCTTTTCACCGATCAGTATCCTATAGCTCGCATGGGGTCCTTCGGATGTATCGCGCAATGTAACACGCCAACCCATCGCCTTTCCAATTGCTAGAAGCTCGTCCATAACAGCAAGAGTATCACGAATGTAAACACGGCCACCAGGCCTTAAGATCCGATCCATCTCGAGCATGATTATTGACATATTGCATCTGATACCCAGTTATTGAAGAGAGAGGGAGTAAGCAACAGAATTCTCAACAATGGAAAACGGGAAAAAGAAAAAATCCATAACTGCCAAGTTGAAGTGAAAGGAAACAGGACCGTGGCACTATCTATACCAACTAGGCGTACCTTTTTCTCTCGGATGAAAAAAGACCAGCTGCATGCAATAGATCATACGTTCTTGGGTACGTATCAAAGGGTTCGCACCTGATAGATGACAGAGAAGCTGTCAAATAGCTTGCATTCACTTTTCTATCTAGGCCATAGACTAACAAATATGCAATTCAATTATCTATTATCAAAATACTTATGTACTAATGTTGTTTGAGAACCTCCTACAGTAATATGTATAGATTTATTGTATGAGAATCGAACAATTATGCAGTTTACCAATCATGGAGAACTCCGAGAAGTCCACGATCGTATATAACAGGTAAGGTGTTCGGTCCACTCACGGGGACGACGTTCATTACCCAGGAATCCAATTTATGATCAATTAGTGCTGCTGCAAACCTGCCAAAAAAAAATAAAGCGTAAATAATAGGAAAAACACAAGGATCCTACTAGATATGATATTAAGGAGTATACTGACCCTCCAAATCCAGCTCTCATGTCCATTACATTCCTTAGTCTTAACTTCTTCCAATGTAATGCACGAATATAGCTTCCTATAATTTCATTCCAATATTTATATTCTGCCGTGAAGAGCTCATTTCTGGATATATAGGCATCGTACTGAATGCTCTGGAGCCTGTCTGGAGGAGCATGCAAGCGCGCAGGCCATGTCGAGATGTTTCTGCCAAAACCATTTTCAGGAAGCCGAGTGATGCAAGGCTTCAGATCGACATACCTTACCGTGGAAAAATGTAGCATGTCCGACAATTAGAATATGGTTATAAGAAAGGAGCCAATAGAAGAGATGAAAAACCTTTATTTGATTTGTTCATTCTTTCTTTTTTCCCCTTTGTTCAGAACATCTCTATTAAAAGGACTTAATTGTAGGACTTAATTGTCATAAAATATATATATTAAACCAATAAGTTCAATGAGAAGTGAGAATTGGTCATTTGAGACTTTTCATTTGCTTATTTCAAACAAAAGGGCACATTATCTAACGAGGAAGAGTACAGTTTGGAAAGAAAAATTCTCAGAAAACAATTCTTTTAAAACTGGGTTGCACCTTCTATTTACTGTTAGTCAAATTCTATTTCTTTTAAGAAAAAACTTATGGATCTGATATATAAATGACTAATCAAAAAGGATAAATGTATACTTACCAAACTTTATCTGGATCGTCGTCTACGTCACAAAGTGGAGGCTTAACTCCTGAATCACGGCTAAGATAGCAGCTGTTATTCATTGGCTTTTGCCATATTGCAATATACCCATCCTTTTTCACAAACGTCCAGCAAAGACGAGTGGTAAGGTTAATCATCTCTGGCAAAAGAGAGGAAATGAGAATCGAATAAAATATGGAAAGTTTTGAAGACTTATCATAAAACCTATATTATTTAAAGGCCAAAATAGCTACAAACATTAGATCCTGGTAAAAGAGATGTCAAATCACCTTAAATCTTTCTAAATTTTTTTATATTTCGAAACCAATTTCCTTGAGTTTTCTTCTACTCTACAGAGAGCCCTAAAGAAATACTCAGGCCCTGGTTAAACAAACTAGCCAATTTACTAGATCAATAGAAAGACATAGTATTGGCTGCAAATGGGGATCTGAAAAGATTTCAGACATTGGAGAACTTAAAGACTCCAACTAACCATACGCATTAAGTTAGAAGAAACAGTCAACAGATACTATGCAGTCATAAACAAACCTTCCCACTGCTGCTCCAAAGCTTCTTCATGCTTGTAAACAGGCTGTGCTGCCCAAGCAAAGTACCCTCCAGCCCTTAGCATTCTGTCAACCTCCAGCAACAGAACTCCATCTTAAAGTCAGAAGGTTTAAAGAAAGTTCAACAATCAGAAGACCTTACAAATAAGTATTCTTCATTTAAAGATGCAACTATGCCAATAACTCTCATTTGGATCAATAAATCTTGAATAGAAAATATAACATGAATATACAGATAGTAATAAAGAGGAGTGAGTAATGAGACAATCATACCATCACTAGTCCAATTTATTCTACATCTTGAGCAATGTATTAGGTCAAAAGCTTGACTTGGATACAGTAAACGACGAGTAGAAAATGCTGCAACCATTGCAGGAACACCACGTTCAAGAGCAAATTGAATCTGATTCTCATGAACATCTTTGGGAGCAACGGACATTGTTACTACATTTCGTGAAAGCAGATAGGCACCGTAACTTGCAACACCACATCCAACATCCAAAACTACTCGTGTATGACTACCAAAAGCGACATCAGGAACAATCTATACAACAGTACAGATTAGAAGTTTATCATTAAAGAAAATAAATCCCAAACCTACCTTCTATCTTAAATGTGCAGTAATTGTATATTTATTCACCTTGGAGATATGATCCAAGTACTCATTTGCCCCATGAATGAATTGTGTACCACCTCCAGGAAACCTAAACTTATCTCTGTCCCGGGAAATCCAGTTTTGACCCCCTTTGTCTTCAACCAGACGGGTATGAGGAACATTGCTGAACCACACCTACAAAAATAAAGTAGCATGCTCCAGCTATCAAAATCTCAAGAGATAGATGCTATACGAGAAAATTAGAGAAGTTCCCCTATCTTGCTGGAAAATATAGACTCAGGATATCAGAAATTACAGAAGCTGTGTTGAAGCATATCAGCCCTACAAGCACAGACTTGATAAACTTCCACCTGAACAAGTAACTTCGAGTAAATTTCTAGTACTATTGTAGTACAAAGATTTTTCTGTACTAGTTCTATTTACTTCCACCCAACATTCCCTACATTTAAGAGTGAAGTGAAGCGATTGAATATTAACAGGGGAAGCATGTACTGCAGCCTACTGGAGTACTAGAATTTTTTTTTTCCATAACATAACAGCTGAGCAACTAACCAATTCAACCATACTAGTAACTATCGATTACACAAGTCCTTTTATTATGATCAAGAGATGAGATTTATGTACCGGACAGAAGCAGTACCTCGTCACGGCTTCTCGGCCAGGGAATGGGCGTGCGGTATCCCTTCGGAGCTGGAACTAAGCAGTTCAATCCCTCACCAACAGGAGGACAATGCCGCTCAAACTTTTCACCCTTTTCAGTTGGCTTCAGATTCTTAATTGTGGCCTCGTTATCCAAGCATGGTATATACTCTCTCATGTTCTGCGGGCAAAGAGCAAACTTCTTGATCCTAAACTTGACAGGGCCATTATCATCTGTCTCTGTCTCATTCTCATTCCCCCAGCTCTCCGTAATTTCAGGATCCAAATCCCCAATCTCAAACTCTTCAGCCATCGTTCCATTCTCGGTCACGATCCCAAACCTCTGCACTGAAGCAGACGCCGGAGGGGGACGCGGCGGAGAGGGAAAAGGAGGAGGAGGAGATGAATCGGGAATCGGAAATGGGGCCAGGGCCGGGGCTGGGGCTGGGGTCGAGGCCGAGACCAGTGCTTTCTCCGGAGCCGCACGGGTCAAATTCTGCTCGATCAGAGAAGAAACATTGAAGGGCTTGTCATGGTTAGGAGACATTGAGACTGAAGGGGCGTATCGAGTCTCGGCGAAGAAGATGAGCTGCGGGTACCCATCAGACCAATGTTTACCCAGGTAAAAGAAAGTGACAGAGATCACARTGAAGGCCGAGATCTTGAAGAAAGATGGGTTCTTCAGCGAATCGCAATTCCAGAAAGGTTTCATTCTGGCCAGCGGATTCTTTCCCCCCAAATGGGGAAATGAGGGAAAACAGCGAGCTGAAGAGGGAATTTGGGTTTTCCTTTTTCACTGAAACAATTACACTTACAGATTCCAAGGGATGTAATCTCTGTTCTGTTCTGTATCAGCTTTTCCGTTCTAAGTTCCGATCGCCTCTGTCTCCGGCCTCCGATCACACGATGTTAAGCTGTGAATTACCCGCCGGAGTTCTGAGGGTTGCCATGAAATTGAATATGGCGAGAAGAAACTTGAACTTGAACACAGCGAGCGTTACGTTGAAACGGCAACTTTGTCCGATTGTGACTCGAATTCGGACCGTGTTCACTGAGGCCATGTCCCACTGCCACTCCCCGCCCTTCCCATCTTTTTTCTATTTTCTARTTTCTAATATTTACAAATTACAGAATCACATCTTTAAATATCAAATTCAGCCCAAGACCTTTGTCCAAAGTTAAAGGTTTGAACTTGGGAATCCTTGGGAATRGCTACTCACAGTTAAGCAAAATGTCTAAAGTTTTTTTAAATTGCATGGCAGGCCAAAATTGATTTCCTAAAATTTGGGGAGGTATATAATTCCTTATTTATCCCTCCACACATTTCATGTCCATATCGCCCTTGCAATCTTTCTCCATTTTACCCATCCACGTTTTAGGCCTCCCACATTCCCTTAATCGGTCCCTAATTATAGACTTAATATTGAAACCACCTTAACCACAAAATCTACATAATTCCTAAAATTTTTCCACAAAATTTAAACCACAAAATCTATATAATTCCTAAAATATTTCCACAAAATTTAAACCACCAAATCTACGTATATGATTCAAACAAAATACAGTGTTTCTTTAATATTCTTACATAATGTATCATTAATCCCCATCCATTTTATTTTTACATTTTTTTCAAGAATTAAATCAATCAATGCGGGAACATTATGCGATCATTGTTAGCCACGGTTTTAGTTGGGAGGAGCACAACAATTATCAAGGGTTCATTACCTTGCACGTTTCAATTCCATTCGATTCCACCCTACAACAACTCTGTGAATGTATCTCTAGAGATCTTTATTTTCCAGAAGGAAAAAAAAGTACACGTCTTTCACTTTTCAGAAATGGTGCTGGCAAGTCGATAATTATGAGGCTGTTAGTAGATAAGGACGTGGCGTGTATCATATCCCTATTGGCGGATGTCAGGTGCAGCGACTACTGCATAGTTGTAGATACTAACCCCGTATATAACACCATCTACAGGGGTAGTGAAAATTCAGACGCCGAAAATAGATTGAAAACTATCTGCAGAAAATAGTCATATTTTGCATCACATAATCTTTCTTTATCACTGCATCGAAACAAAGATCAATGCATAAAATATGGCAAAAAGGTAACTAAAACCAACAAAATCAAAAATGCATATTAGCAATCAAGGAAACATATATTAATATTTACCTAAGGGGAGATACAATGAATGTGTAAATATATGGCTACTAGAAGTTATCTTACAAAATAAGCAAGAGACGTCAATACAACAGGGTAGATATATGATTTTATAGGGTAGATGGCCATTTTGACTGGGTTATCCTTGTCCATCAACATTCATGACTTATATGCCATGATTATTACATTCTAAGAAGCTGCATTTTAATTCTTGATATATGAGAATTAGCCATGATTATTACATTCTAAGAAGCTGCATTTTAATTCTTGATATATGAGAATTAGTCATCGAGTTATTGAAACATTACTCGAAAATCTGAACTTGTTCCATTCCAAAAGATTTCCAAAATTTCAATTTGAGATACAACTCCTAAGTATTTGATTATCTTTTTAAGTCAACTATGTCCAAACAGCATTTTAATTATTTTTGTATCAACCATATGACCAACCACTGTCCAAACCCTTTTAAAATTACTTCTAAAATAACTTTTTAAATCAACGTCCTAAAATAACTATGGTTCGTATCAGTATGTTCAGATTCACCTATTTAGTTTCTTTTTCTTTAGCTAATATCATAATCAAAATACTGACATATCTATTAAATAAGTATTAAACAAGTTCTAATTTAGTTAGATAAGTTAGACAAACTAGTTTATACAAGTGTTCAAAAGGGAAAACCCATCTTCTCTGGGTATATTAAAAAGGGGGCGGGGAAGATGATTCAAATATCGTCCCAAATAGGATAAATAGCGATTCTCCATCCTGTTTAGGGCAGGGACTAGTTCACTCACCTCAAAACAGAGCTGTGGACTGAAAGACGAGCTAGAACTTTATAATAACTAATGAAGACCTTGCCTATGAAAGAGCTTCTGCTTCTCTCTAGTTTAAAGATCAAACCAAGTTAGATCAGCCCTTCAGAAGAGAAACCTGGTTTGGCATTTCATTAATGCTGAAACTTCTTCAACTCACCTGTTTGAATATTCATCACTTTTGAACTGAGTACACCATTTATAAGCCTAAAACACTTCAGTTCTACACAAAGTGGACAATGATGGTTGTTTTTCTTCTAGTTTTAACTTATATAATACATTGTATAAAAATAATCTACCTCAATCAGGAACTGGTATCTCCTGTCCCATCACTATTTTTATAGGATTTCTTCCTAACAGCCTCTGATCATTAAAGAATTGAGTACATACATGAATGTACATGCATATATGGATGAAAGCTATTGTCTATGGCATTTACAATTGAATCTACCGTTTTCAAAGAAGGGGTGGCTAACTAACAAAACTTTGTTGAAGCTGAGGCTCGAAATTCAACTGGGCGATTCGGCCAAAAGAAGGGTGTGCCACCATCCACAGGCAACGTTTTTAGCAGTGCAATTTTCCATCGTGACTTCGACGGGAATATTTCGGTCAATTACGTCGCCCAGACCTAGCTGCAGTGCGTAAATGGAAATCTTATAAGATCCTCAATGTCAGATCTGATCTTGGCAAACAACTTGTAGATATGCATTTATGCAAGGAGGCAATGAGAAATTACAGATTTGTTGAGACAATTTTAAAGAAAAAAACCGATACAAGGCGCATCAAACCAACAGACCTGGCCATACTTGTTCCAACCCCAGCAGAACACTTTACCATCCTCTAGAAATTGAAGAAACAAGAATGTTACAACGAATATCATGCAACATTGAAAAAGAACCACAATAAATCCTTCGGAAAGTTTAAAGCAGCCCAATCACTATAAATTTTTTAGTCATACGTTTTTTCTTTTTGTCCTTTTAGAATATCCATGAGCGTGCTTGGTCACACTTTGACTTATCACAAGGAATAACTGCCTAGTATTACAATAATTAATTGCCAAAGAAACTCATAAAATATGAAATCCCGGTTTTGTGTGGCTAAACTCCAAAATGCCTGGACTTTTGCTACCTAAATTGTCTCATTTATACTTTAAAGTTTAGACGTTTGAACTTTTTCATCTCAGTAAATTGAAGTGTGCATATCATGAATCATAAGGTACATAGAATAGAACCCCTATGCAAATAAATAATGAAGTACCTGTTACTATAGCACTATGACGAGCCCCACACGATACAACCTTTGCATTTACATTTTCCACACTCGGTGCATCTAGAAGTCTAGGAAGAGTCTGTAAAAATGGTTGAAAAGAAAAGAAGACAGCATCAATCACTTTTTTCTGCTTTAGAACTCATACTACATAATACTATGACCAATGCTGCCTGCTGGAAATTATGGTCAAACATATTGAAGCAGCATTCAATAATAAATCATACCTCAGCTTGATCAGCACCTGTTCCTAACTGCCCAAATTGATTTCCGCCAAATGAGTATACGYCACCGTCAGCAGATATGCAGACTGTGTGCCACAGTCCAGCGGCAACACTCTCTATCCGGATACCGAGTAATGAGGATACACACGTTGGACTTAACTCATCATCCGTACACCCTTTCCCACACTGTAATACATAAATTAAGCCAAAAATATAGCAGCAGCACAAGAGATGGAGGGAAGTTAAAGAAAAAGGAACAGAACGAATTATCTCTTTTTGATTGAACTTGATCTTGATCTACATCTACATATCTTTTCTCCACCATTTTCTACTTTACCTACATATTGGTCAATTGTCAATCAAGGGAACTCCAGCTGATGATGGGTTGTACAGAGGATCAAAATATTTAACTTGCAAATGAAGTAGGCATTGCAAATGAATACCAGGTAGAAAAGAAAAAAATCAATAAGATGAAAGATCCTATCATGATATGGAGCCAAGGAAAGCAGCCTTACAGATGTACAAGTGAGATATGAACCGTACCCACTTAGATACGTACAGACACAGAATCAGTTCGCACTTAGATATGTACAGAAACAGAATCAGTTCATAGAATTAAGTGATCTTGCATTAACTGAAGAATGCTGTAGAAGGCATGCAAAAAAAGAAAAGAGATGCCAAGGAAGGAATGGAATGTGATGAGAATGTTGTCTGCAAGTTAAAATGAAACGAAGAACGTGTTGTGAAATTGACATGATCAATTCACCTGTCCATACAGTCCCCAACCGAACATTAGCAGTGCCCCAGCATCTGTGGCATAAAAGATGAGAGAAATATCAAATATATGAAGCTTATCACTTCATGTAGACAACTTGAAGAACACAGAGGAATAGATTAATCAAACACCAATCTTTCACAATTATATGGAAATCAGTGAATCAAACATAACCTCTAAGCTCTAAAACTGCAGTTTCTTGCTGTCTTAATTTCCATCCATCAACCTATCACTGTATATATGTATATATATGTAAATTCCCAAGTACAAACAAAAGTACTAAAGTCTTGCCACTAGTTTTCACCCAAGGAATCTTTTTAGGTTAAATTATAAGCTTCAAGTCCCAGAACTTTAGAAGTGTCTAAGAAATGTCAAATAGGTCAGGTCCATTAGACACTTGTTTAGGGACCTATTAAACATGACCCTAATTTAAGTGTTCCAAAAATTGATTATCTTTCAAAATCAGAACCAGAAAAGTTTGTGCACCCACTATTATGTTGGAAAAACAAAATCACAAACCTGTAACCACTGCACTGTGACGCCCTCCACAAGCAATTCCCTTCACGTAGCTTCCAGGAAATCTACTCCCTTGACCCTCTAAGCTCGCACTTCCTCGAGCAAGAGCTGTAGATCTATCTTTGCCAAAAGAAGACGACTCGATGCAAGGTATGGGATGTGGAGAGGAAACCATACGTATACGGGAGCCCAAACCTAGCTGTCCTTCTCCACCGTAGCCCCAACCCCAGACCTGTCCCATATCTGAAACTTTAAAGACATTAGTGTGCATTATATATTATATATTTCATGCTACTCCATCCAATAAATTATTCCAAGCTTCTTCCAGAATTAATTTTGTATGGCTCCAAAATACAAAGAAGAAAATGTTTGGGGTCGAGTAGAATGAACCACAACATGTTTAGTATTATTGATTACAAAATTACTTGAAGTGATGGTTAATTTAAGTTTTTTACAAACCAGTATGAAGGATTCGGTCTAAAAATATGCATACATATAAATTAACTAACTAGACCAAACTGACCAGCCAATTATTGCCATGACAACATTCCATAAGTCTCCAAATACATTACGGGAACAAGCGGACAAGATTAACACATTCTACATTATAATTACCTGATAGTGCCAGCGTATGACGCCCTCCTGCAGAAACAGAGGCTATTCTTACCCCAGGATTAAGAGCTACAAGACAGGGAAGTGCAGAGAGAGTGTCATCACTTGATGACGAACTCTCAGCTGCAAGCTTTGCTGATGAAATCCTTCTCCTCTTCGAACTTTCTGCTCCACCACCTCTAGCTTCAATATTGGAAACAACAGCACCAGTAGATCGTGCGGCTTGTAAACGAGGACTAACTGCCACCAAGAAGAAGAAGGGCCAGTGAGAATTGAGAAAAACTATGAAGAGCCTCTTTCTATTATTAAGTTTATGCAGTACCTTGATCCGTCAAAGAAGAAGACTGCCTCTCTAATACATCATTTTCCAGGCTAGCCCCAACAGGCAGATCTCCAAAGACCTTTCCAGAGGGAACACATTCTTTCCATCCCCATGTGTAAACTTCACCTCTATCTGTATATAAACAGTAGAAAATATAGACAAGTTCACTTAGCAATACAACAAATAGGCATTTGAGCCATCTTACAGATCTCATAGAAGAAGACTTTTCAAAGTTACTAGAAGATGAAAAAAAAAATTATTTCTTTCTGCTTCTTCTGGTGGGGGGATTCTCTACAGAATTTAAGGGCAAAAAAAAAATGCGACGTATAGGAGACCTCAAGTTAATAAGCACAGCGGTTTAAGAAACCCATCGCAGTGATTTTATAAAAAACATTCGTAAATAAATTAAAAAACATCCATAAAAAATATTCTTTTCTCTAGATAATCTCCTACAAAACCTCAAATTCTTAGAATTTTCACTTACTTTTTCATAGAAAAAATTTAATTACATTTTTTTTATCGTGCACATGAAAAAACTTAGTGCAAGTTTTTTTTTTGCACTTAAGCTCCTATAAAAACTCTGAATTAGCAAATAGACTTTACCATTGTCTTGTTTGTGCGCCATCCATTAATAACCAAACAGAATTTCTATCTTCTTTACTCTTCCCTAAGGGAATAAATGGTTTACCTGTAATAGCAGCACAATGGGCCCAACCTGCTGCTGCTTTTACTATAGAAGCTTCCGTTGGAAGAGGAAATGGCTCTGGAGTTTCCTTGAGAAGAAAATTGAAATGTACTGCAGATCAGTTCATTAAGAGCTAACAGTAAAACTATTTTAACTCAACGGGCATTGTGTATGGCTTATACCCCATGCTTCCCAGACGTCACATAGCTTTGACCAAGATCATCTGTTGAGCCCCATGTAATGAGTTTTCCAGATTCTGATTAAATGAGGGAAAAATAAGACTATATATCAAATAAGAGAAAGAACCGCATCGTGAAGAAAACATATGAAATCCATATTATCCAATATCAGCAGTCAAAAACAATGACTCAAGACAATAAACATGGGGACCGGTGGATAAACCAAAACCTAGTCAATAAGAACTGAAAAGACATTCAGAAGTTAAGCTGTCAAAGATAAAAAATAAAACAATGCTTAAGAAACGACAATCGCTGGATAAAAAAAGAAGAAAAAAGTACACCCCTTCAATCTAGAGGGAGGGAAGGGCAAACACATAGAAAAAAACCAGAAGTTTGAGCCGGACGAAAAAGTAAGATTACAGCGCCTTGCTCAGAGATCAAAACAAAAACCAAAAAGCCTCAACTCCACTCTTTGTAAATTGAAGTCCACATCTGAACAAAACAACCAAACCCGGAAAAACGAAGAAAACTCTGAAATGAAATGAGTTTAGTATCACCATTTCAGCTCAAATTAATATTAAATTTCCACAACCCAGAAACCAAAAATCCCCAAGAAGTCAAAAGGCGCATCCTCTTCCATTGAATAAATATTTGGCCAGCAAAAACCACAACCCACAACATACAACACTTACATTCACCAAATCAACAAAGTCCAGTAATGCAAGAATTCACAAACCCGCAAACTCCGAACTGAGAACATCAAAACCCAGCAGAAACAAAAACAAACCCATTAAAAAAAATGAAAAAATCACCAGAAATGGCCATGGCGAACCC